TGTTGACCAGGATGGTCTCGATCTCTTGACCTCGCGATCCACCCGCCTCGGCCTCCCAAAGTGCTGGGATTACAGGCTTGAGCCACCGCGCCCGGCAACCTAACTTTTATATGCACTGGGAGACCAAACAATATCGGTGACTTGCTTTATAATGGTGATGACTGCATGGCTCAGCATGCTTTGACTTTCTATGATAAACAGGCCCCTGCCTGTTTTCTGTCCTATCACTGTGCTGTTAGCCAAATTTCATTTCAACTAAAAGATACTGACTGGAAACTGGTAAATAAGGAGCAGAGAGTAGCATAACCAAAGTAGTATTTTGGAAAGACTGCTATGGTACACCTGTACAAATTGGGTTGGAAGAGCAAGAAGCTGGAGTCCTGCAAGGCTATCAGGCAGTTAGCTGTGTTCATCTACCCTCCCATCAAAAGTCATCTCAAGGAGTGAGGCCTCCTGCTCACTGGAGATACATCCCCAAGGTATGCCTGTATACCTTCTAATAAAATGCCAATAGATTTTAAGGCAAGAAAATACCTCAAAAGGTGACAAATCCCGAAAACATCACAAGGATATTTGGGGCATGTTTCAGGATACTCAACAGTGAGTCAAGATCAAGTCCATCTAAGCGGGAGTTCTCACTCCTTGAGATGACTTTTGAAGGGAGGGTAGATGAACACAGCTAACTCCTTGATAGCCTCCTAAGACTCCAGCTTCTTGCTCTTTCAACCCAATTGGTACAGGAATACCACAGCAGTCTTTCCAACATGCTACTTTGGTCAGGCTATTCTCTGCTCCTTATTTGCCAGTTTCCAATTTCTTTTAGTTGAAGTGTGGCTAGCAGCACAGTGATAGAACAGAAAACAGGAAGGGTGTTCATCAACCCTGCTGCTCTTGCCAGAAGGTAAGGAGAAAAAACAGTCCCCAGCACTTGCAGCACATCAGCATGCACAGCACGTCAGCACTCACAGCTGGTCAGTATAACTCATGCTGTCCCCTACTCTTTGTGACCTTTGTGCAGTCCAGCCCTGCCAAAAGCCACCCGCAACATGCCCATACCAATTGCAAACAACCCTTCAGTCCTGTCCTGTCTTCGTTTAGTCATGCTAGAGTCTGATTTTCAATACATAATTAGTAACTTTCTTTCTAACTGGAAACTCCTGAAAAGTCCCACTTATTGTATAAAATGCCTTCTATGCAGGCATTTCAATTGGGATTTTAAAAAATCAAATCGTGAACCACTTCCACTTCCAGAAACAAATCAACAGCAATTATCTCCTTTCTCATTTAAAGCTGTCTTCTAGAGGTGAGGTGACTCTGGTGATAGCTTAATGATCAGACCAGTAGAATTCTGAAGTGTACCTTGGGCCTTTTAGACTCAACGATGCCATGCAAGATATGCTCTAACCCACAAAGTCCTCTAGCATAGAACAGTGCAATTCACCAAAGAGCCAAACAATCCTGGGGTCCTATACCCTAGCTGCAATTTGGCCATTGCTCTTTTTACATGTCCAACCCATCTCTTCCAACTGTGTGGGGCCATCTAATTTTTCATTCGTACATTATGACTAAAGTCCACCCTTAATAATATTAAAATACAGTTCTAAGCCACAGCCAGTACCATCATCATGATGATCCTTGATCAAAATTTACACCGTACTTTAGGACTAGCAGGTATCTAAGACAGGTAACCAGTCTCCACTGCAGGCAAAAAGTAATAAAATCAATAGTTCAGGCACATGCTTACCAGTGTGTCAAGGATGATCACATGTGTAAAACACCCTCCGGTTCCATTTCTAGTAATGGTACCAATGTTCAGAGACAAATAGCCTCAAAATACTGGTCTTGCTTGACTCCTTTCCTTTTCTTCTCTATCCAACTCAGGAAGTCTTACTAAATTTTCCTTTTGCCAGGCTTCCATGAAACCATGGTTAAGATGACAGATCACTTAGGTAAGCTAACCACAGGTTAGCTCTGTGACCTTAGCTAAGTTGTTAGTTTTCTCATCTGTGAAAGGAGATATAATACTCTACTCATAAAGTCGTTGTGAGGATTACATGAGTTACAACATGTGAGTTACTATAAGGATGAAATGATTTACACATGCCTGCACGTGTTCAACACTAATATTATTACTACCTCCCAGATTTCATTAGTTTTCATTAAGCTCTTCTTCACCTTTGTTTCCCACTACAGTAACATTAGCAATTAAAAGTTCACCTAGTAGTATGTTTATCTGTGCCTGTTCCATTAGAGTGTACATTTCTAGAAGGTAGAATGTAACATCTTTATTTTTCTTTACCTTTCACAGAACTTCATGTAAATCAGTAATGTTTATCAAATAGATTGTCCTTAATGACCACTTGTGCCTCAAGATCAACAACCACCCATATATGGGGATTCCTATGGTAACAGCGAGACTCTGTGACCTGACTTCCTCAACACCCACTGCTGAAGAACCACAGGCCTTCCCAGATTTGATGTGCTGCTGGCCTCTCTTCTGAACACAGAAATTTCACTTCAGAATATTTCTGCACCACACTTGTCCCCTATCGTGCACACCTCTAACACACCCTGCTCATGGATGCTTCATTGAATGTTCTAGTATTATGCCTTCACGGTCACATCAGAGTGGCCAGAATAAAAAAAGACATGCAAGTATTCTATAAGCCAAAAATTTCACTAGAAATCTGAAGTAAACACTTCAAATACAGATGGCCCCTTAGTAACAAATAGACAATGACAATGTTTACATATGCTCACTAAAGTTTATCCTGAGCAAGACCCTGTGTACAATATATCTTCTCTTGGCACTATACAGCTGTGCAAGCAAGGAGGATTAGACATATGTAGAAATACAGGTATGTGTGTGGAAACACAAACACAACCTTAAATGTGCCAGAAAACCTTAAATGTGCCAGATTTTTTTTTTTTGAGACAGGGTCTCACTGTGTCGCAGATTGGAGTGCAGTAGTGTGATTACAGCTCACTGCAGCCTTGACTTCCCAGGCTCAAGCAATCATCCCCGCCTCAGCCTCCTGAGTAGCTGGACTACAGGCATGTGCCACCAGGCCTGGCTAATTGTTTCATATTTTTGGTAGAGATGAGCATTTGCCATGTTACTCAGACTAGTCTGAACTTCTGGGCTCAAGGAATCTGTCTGTCTCGGCATCCCAAAATACTGAGATTATGGGTGTGAGCCGCTGCGCCCAGCCTTTTTTCAGGTTTTATCGACCACTTTGAAACAGGACCTTTGAAATTATCGGTTAACCTATGCTGATGATATACTCACTTGTAGCTTCCCATTCTGATTTACTTAAGGTTCCCTAAAATTATAAAAGAGAAAAAGAAAATTTTAGAATAAATATGGAAATAAACATATGCTTATTTCTACATAATGGGCAGAGAAGGCCAAAAGACTCTAACTTCACTGTAAATACACATTCAATTCACTGTTAATCATATTGTGATCTGAGCATAAAAATCAGTGAGATTAACTTTGAAAGCCATCTCCTCATACTTTAATCCTCCTGCCATATTCTCTAACCTGTGAATTCTCAACCAAAGGGTGAATGTGTGTGAAGAGGGCACAGTGTGTGCGTGTAACTGGAAAATGCATCTATCTTATATTCTTAATTTGGAAAATGAAAACATCAAAGAGCACTGGTGGAAAAAATACAATTTTAGTGTTTTTTTCAAAGGAATAACAAAATGCATACCACACAAAGGAAATAAATTATATTAATGTAGCTATCAAAATATTAAAAATGTGTTGCTTTGCACACACCATTAACTATAATAACAAGATCTACTGGCAGTTCTAGTGACATAATTTTCCAGATGTGATAAATGAAAACAATATTCTAAGATATTAGCAAAAATGTCCTATGAAAATATCTGTAATTTCTACTGATGACAAAGTCATAGCAGCAGCTAATACCACTGTTGTACTGTTGTATTCATCATTTCTGAAATGTAAACTTTACACAGAAGTGAAGAGATGTAATATTTTCCCATTTAAATTCCTGGACCCCTGAATTCTATGTATGAAACGCTGTGATTCATTGGTGCCTACATTAGCAGGCAACTTGCACGCCAAGCCTGTAATTTTTTCTCTATCCTCACTGCCTCAGATATAGTACTCCATTCTTAGTCCACTGAAATAAGTGTTAGTCCATATTCTGTGGTTATAAGAAGTCAGCATAACTTAGGGGAAAGAATTGATTTGTAAGTCAGTGAGCCCAAGTATTGTAAACAACTGAAATAATTTCCGATGTCTTCACATAATGCATGTTTTTCATTCACTATAAAATACTTTCAGAAATGAAAACTCACCAAAGGTAACCTTACTTGACTGTTCTTCATGTACTTTGCTGCATGTTCATAGTCATCCACCTTCTCAGAGACAAGTTTAGAATTCTCATTTGCAGGATATGGCTGTGGAAACCGAGGAAAAGTCCTAGTTACAATAATACATTGAAATTTGCAATTCAGAAATAAACACACTAAATCACTGAAATACCATAATTAGGAGGATAGTCCATAAGTACTATTTCAGGAATGTAAACTACACATACTTTTCAAATATTAAAAATAAATAAATAAAGGAGGAATCCTCTCTTAAACCAGCAACTTTTTTGCAACAATCTTGCTCTGTTTCCCAGGCTGTACTGCAGTGGCAGGATCTCTGCTCACTGCAACCCTGGCCTCCCTAGCTCAAGTGATTCTCCCACCTCAGGCTCTTGGGTAGCTGTGACTATAGGCAAAAGCCACCATGCTGGCTAATTTTTAAAACTTTTTTTGTAGAGCCAAGGTCTCAGTATGTTGCCCAGGCTGGTCTTAAACTCCTAGGCTCAAAGAATCCTCACACTTCAGCCTCCCAAAGTGCTAAGATCATAGGTGTAAGCCACCACATACAGTCTTATGGTCAACTTTTATCACAATCTTAGGATATTCATAGCTGGAATAAGCTACATAATTTAGTCACCACCAAGAACCATTTAGCAGCAAACACCTGCACCTTCTCTACTGCTAGCCAAAGACTTTGTATGTCACAAATACAGAGCTTAAAGATGTCATAAAAAGAGCTAAATATTAAAATAACAGTGATTTAATAGCCATGAAAAGCATAAAGGGCAATTACAAATAATACAAATTAAAAAGTCAAGTCAACATAGAACCCTGTTTAATAATCCAGCCTCCAAAATATAGACATTTCCCATATTTACATAAGACTCTGGAGAAGGGTCAGAAAAACATGCTGTTTTTAAAGGTATGCTGGCCAAATGTTTATTCAAATTACTTCAAGTGCTATTTTCAATCCATTTTAAGTGATATCCCTTTATAGTATTTGCATTATGCCTTTTAATACATGTAAATCAGGCCTGGCTCAGTGGCTCACGCCTGTAATCCCGGCACTTTGGGAGGCCGAGGCAGGCAGATCACTTGAGCTCAGGGGTTCGAGACTAACCTGTGCAACATGTCAACATCTTGTATCTACAAAAAAAATACAAAAAGTAGCCAGGCATGGTGGTGCACACCTTTAGTCCCAGCTACTCAGAAGGCTGAAGTGAAATGATCACTTGAGCCAGGGTCGGGAGAAGTTGGGGGGACTCAGTGGGGAGGACATGCAACGAGCCAAGATGGTGCCAGTGCACTCCAGCTTGGGTGACAGAGAGAGACTCTGTCTCCCCCACTACCTCCTCAAAAGACAAACCACATACATGTAAATAAAAATACAATAAATTACATAAAATAGTTAATAGAACCATCTACTCCACGAAGTTTATATTTTTTAATAATATAATTCATTTATAATTCTTTGTCTTACTACAACAAACCAGCTAAAAAGGAAACACTTTAAACTTACAACTCCCTAATAAACTTTTAAGAAAACGATCTATGAATATCTGCTTTACAATATCTTTGTCTCTTTTCTTTATAAACATCCGGCAGCAAGTTCAGGCATTAGAAATTAACCTATTTATGTACTGTTTTAAAAGTGTTCAGCTATTTGGGACTGCCATATCATTAGCACAAGCCACCTTACTTTGTATCACATCCCAACACAGGGATGTGATAAAGAACACAGACTATCAATCAGATTTTTTTAACTTTAATTCCACATGCTGTAGTTTTACCATATCACAAAGCTTCAGAACTTCATTTTTGAATGCCTGCCAAACTATTTTGTTGTAAACTTATTCTTCAACTTATCCTCCATGTGATTATCTGCTTATTACTGGATACCATTTCTCTCCTCTACTGATCATTTCAAAAAACCAACCAAAACATGATTATAAAGCTACAAAACATCATTGTTTTTTAAAACTCATTTTTTGAGATGGAGTTTCAGTTTTCTCACTCAGGCTGGAGTGCAGTGGCACAATTTCCAATCACTGCAACCTCCACTTCCTGGATTCAGGCGATTTTCCTGCCTCAGCCTCCTGTAATCCCAGCTAATTTTGTATTTTTAGTAGAGATGGGGTTTCACCATGTTGGCCCGCTGGTCTCAAACTCTTGACCTCAGGTGATCTGCTCGCCTCGGCCTCCCAAAGTGCTGAGGTTACAGGCGTAAGCCACCATGCCTGGCCCCAAACATCTTAAAACATATATATCTTAGTGTCTTCCCTAAAAGGAGTTACTATTCCAGAACTGTCCCTAGCATATGTTTGCTGGTGAAAAAAAGAACACAGGCATCAGGACCTAAAGTTCCATGGCCTACATAAATTTTCATTCTTTCTTCTCTCTGTTCCAACACTCCAGGAAAGCAGAAAAGTTTTATTGGTTCTAGTGCTGAACCCAGATGAAAGCTGAATGCTTCAGGAAAAGACTTTTTATGGCAAATATCCAGAAACAGATCCATTTAAACCTATGACCTGGTCGAAAGCAGTGGCATCTGACTGCTCTTTCCACCTTTGGTCTGGTTTCAACATCCCTCCAAAACATCTTCCATTATGCCACCCAACCAGTGTCCTTCCTAACTCTTATTTGGTCATGTCCTTTCCTGCTCCAAGTCCTTTACTGGCCCACCAGAGTGACTTGGTCAAGAAATAGGAAAACCAAATAAATTTTCAAACTGCATGTTATTACTGCTTCTGTCCCCAGACAGCCATGCTAAACAGGTCATATCCTCAAGGGCAGTACTGGGAGAGAAGAAAGATTGTTGAAAAAATGTGAAAGCCATTAGTACTAGTTCGTCCAACATCCCTTGTGCTCTCAGGTTTCTCTGCCTGTCCTCTTTCAGTCTCTTCCAGTCTTCTTTCTTCCCAAAAGGCCCTTTATATACTCACTGCATTTGGCAAGCTTCTGTAATACTAAAATTTCCACCAAGGACTACATTATTCACTGGAATAACATGCCATGAAATTCTTGTTATCCCACACCCTACTACCTAAGTACATTTTGACATAAATTACACAAGTGAATTCATTACCTGTATGCTAAGAGAAAGGCTAAATAATTGATCATTGTCATGCAAAACACCATCAAATAAAGGCAATATGCTAAAGGTAATGCATGTGTTTGTGGGGTTGTGGGGGAAGTTATTCACACATGGTTTTGCTAGTTTTATCCTCTTCCTCAAGACAAACAAAACAAGCCTCCCTTCCTAAGATAAAGACAATAAAAACATTCTTAGATCTAAAGTGTAGAAAATATAACTAATAATGAATATAACATTTTATTGATTATGTATCTCAAAAGACAATTTAGAATTTACAGAAAGTCTTCCTACTCGACATGTGGGAGTGGCTGGGTGTAGGTACAACTTCAACAGGAGACTTTTGTTTGAATACCATCTACAAAAACTGAAGAAACTCTAAGGGTCAGTAGCTATATTGCCTTGAGCAAGTCATTTATCCTCTGAGCCTCAGGCTGCCCACTTAAATGTGAAAAGTGGCCAGGTGCAGTGGTTCATACCTATAATCCCAGTACTATGGGAGGCCAAGGCCGGAGGATTGCTTGACGAGGCCAGTAGTTTGAGACTAGCCTGGACAACATGGTGAAACCCCACCAGTACAAAAAGTTTAAAAATGAACAAGGTGTGGTGACACACGCCTGTAGTCATAGGTACTCAGGAGGCTGAGGTGGGAGAATCACTGGAGTCCAGAAGGTGAAGGCCTCAGAGGGCTCTGATTGCATCACTGCACTCCAGCCTGGCAACAGAGCAAGACCCTGTCATTTAAAAAAAAAAAAAAAAATAGGAAAAAAAAGTGAAAAGTTACCATTCTGCCTACTTCATGGAAGTAATTATAAGGTTAAGCGCTTAAAGTACTTAAACTGAATAAATGCTCTAAAGAAGTTTAATATCCATTTGATGAATATGATTCTACTGATCAATAAAAAAAATGTTCACTGAATATTTTAGGTCTGTCCAACCAGATATTGTCTGATAAGGAGAAAAAGGAAAAACAATCAATGGCTGTGTGAAGTTTATATAGATACCTTCACTGCTGCATTAGGACAGGAGAGTCTCAGCAAGAATACAGTCTAAAAGACTGGAACCCTGCTAAAGAATTACCGTACAATGAAATTATGCATGGTACGAGCTTGGGTGGACACTGGCCAGGAAGGTTCTAAATTACTCTCGTAACCAAAAGACACTGTTGTAAAGAACTGGTTCTCAACTTGGGGCAATTTTGCCCACCAGAGAACACTTGGCAATGTCTGGAGACAGTTTTTTGGTTACCATAACTGAGGACAAGGGTGTTTCTATAGAAGGCATCTAGTGGGTATAAGCCAGGAATGCTACTGCATCTCCTACAATGCACAGCATTTCACAGCAAGAAATTATCCAGAACAAAATGTCAACCGTTCTGAGGTTGAGAAATCCTATTTTAAAGCAGTACTATCTAGAAAACAAAATTTGGTAACAGCATTCCTTCATCAAGTATTTACTGAACACTCATCATGCAGTTTCTGCTTCAAGCTCTGTCCTAGGTGCTGAAGGGTGCAATACACATAATTACTTCATGTCCAGATGGCCTAGCAAGGATCTCAAGAACAGCCGAACAAGTTCACCATGACTAGAATTTTTACATCTTTTCTAAAAACTCACCTCCAAGGCCTGCATTCGTTTTAACAGCATTTTATTTTCATTGTTCTTAATCTTTTCTTCGTAAAATTCCCGAAACGTTTTTTTGTAGACTAGTTTCATATTGTATTTCTTTGCCATTCTGTCCAAAAAAGAATACTTAATGAAAAAGCTTCCAAAATGTTTGTAATTCCTCAACTGACTTTTGTACAACAGTGACATCTTCTGGACTTAACTAAAAAAGCTACCATTTCCTTCATAAATTCACAACAGAGTAATAAAAAATGAATCAAAAATAACATATCATACCTAAAAGACATATGCATTCTAAATCTCAGGGGGTTTCAGATAGCTCTTTTAGTATAACACATAGGTCAGGAAGCAAATGAAAGAGTCTCCGGAGTGATGAGATAGGGAAGAAGAGCTGCAGAAACTCTTTTCTACTGATTCCATTTTACTCTACTTGATCTCTCACAGCAGCACTGAAAATAGCTGCTGACTTCTTTCTTAAAGATTCACTTTCATCTCTTGCCTTCTCTGGCAAGAAAAACTATTAATTTTTCCCCACCATGGACTGCTTCTTTGCAGTTTTTTTTCCTTTTTACTTGCAGGTTTCCTTTTTTTTTTTTTTAACCCAACTTTTAAACTTCAAGATTCTGAAGAGTTCGGCCCAGAGCCCTACTCTCTTCCACCTTTGAGCTATCTGTAGTTCAGCTCTCTCTAGTCACTCACTGATTGTACTGCTTATTAAAAATCTTCACCTGCCTGGCGCGGTGGCTCAAGCCTGTAATCCCAGCACTTTGGGAGGCCGAGGCGGGTGGATCACGAGGTTAAGAGATCGAGACCATCCTGGTCAACATGGTGAAACCCCGTCTCTACTAAAAATACAAAAAATTAGCTGGGCATGGTGGCACGTGCCTGTAATCCCAGCTACTCAGGAGGCTGAGGCAGGAGAATTGCCTGAACCCAGGAGGCGGAGGTTGCGGTGAGCCGAGATCGCGCCATTGCACTCCAGCCTGGGTAACAAGAGCGAAACTCCGTCTCAAAAAAAAAAAAAAAAAAAATCTTCACCTGTATGAGTCACTGGCACTTTCTAACTTCCCACATCTAAGGCTGAATATCACTACTCTTTTTCTGCCAGTGTCTGTCATTTCAGTAAATCCATCTAATGACCCATGCCATCTCCCCCTCTTTTACCCACTGTGCTCAATACACATCACTAAGTCCTCTCTACTTTACCTATAAAACATCAATTTCAAATAGGTTCACTTCTTACCTCCTGCATTTGGCACAATCCTGCTGCTTCAGTCACGATCACCACTCAGTGGTACCAGTCCAAAAACTCATTTTGCTTGGCCCCTGCTTCCATTCTTAACTCTCCCTCAATGAATTTTCCAGTCGCAGCCAGATTAAGCTTTCAGAAATATGGACCTGAGTCATGTCACTACCTTCCTTAACACCCTCCACTGGGCTCCAGTGCACTAAGGACACAGAACATGGTCCCTAAGATATTCATCTGTAACGGAATGCTCCCTCATTTTGGGACATCCCCCATGATCAGTCATGATGGGCCTTCTTTCGGCATCCCGGACTAGCCTGGCGTTCCCACTGCAAGGCCCTCACACACACTGTCCTCTTGTCAGGAGCATTCTTCCCTCTCAGTCTTCAGCTGCCCACCTACTATTCCATCCTTTAGATCCTGACTCAAACATCACTTTACAAGTGTCTTCCTTAAATCTTCAATTACATTACGTCTCTCTGTTAGACTCTCAGGTATTTTTTTTCCTCACTGCATCTGCCAAGTTTATAATTATATATCTGTAGACAGCAAGAGGGTATTTGGAGATGACTTCAGGCAGCAGATAAAACAAGAGTGGAAGGGAGGGAGGAAAGTTAGGTGGGAGGGCTTGTATACAGGGTGGCATTTGAGGAGATAGGGTAAGGGTAAACACTGGAGGGCTGCTGAGGTTTCTATGTAAGAGATATAAATAAGGCAGGATTCTGTTACTTCAATTAACCCTCCTTGGAAATGCAACATGAGAAAAATAAGTCTTTTATTCCAGGCAGTTCATTTTCTTTTGTAAATCTCTAAAATAAGCCTTTAGAAATGAAACCAAGTTTTACATCTAAAAAATAACATGATTCAAAGAATTGAGACCCAATTTGAATAGGTTTTGCCACATAAAAAACTTATTTCTGTTCAGTTTCTTAATGAAATGGCAAAAAGGCATCTCAAAAACCCCTACACATTTTCATATTCTATTTCCTCCAATACTGTTTCAATAAATAGTCTTTTAAAAAAATCAGATATTAAAGTGATGACTCAGATTTACCATCATCAGGTAATTTCAGTTAAAACAAAAACAAGACTGCTAGTTCTTGCTTAGCACTTAAAACAAATCTTTTGTTTTATTCTTTACCTTTTGGATTATACTAAAATCACCAAGTCAGTTAACTAAAATCTCAAGCTAACATATTAAACATACTCAACAACATTCCACAATTAAGTTCTTTTTAAAATAAAGTTGAAGAGCAATAACATTTCCCCAAAGTTTATTAGTTTTAAAAATTAAAAACTAAAAGGAAATTGGTATTTTTAAATTTTGTAAATGGTTTATACTTATAAAATTATGCACAGTACTTTCCTCATGTTCAGTCACAATGCTAATAATAAGCTATTATAAAACTCCTGAAAATACTGTACCCCTAATTTTACAGACTGAGTTACAAATCAAATAATCACCAAGCAAAAATAAGCAGACAATAACCTTCTTCTTTTACTCAGTTAATATTTAAAACAAAAGATTTTTGTTTTAAAAAGTAGAAAATCAAGTTCAATAAAGTATGACATGGCCTATATTTAAGCTGACATTTATAGTCTCCCATCAAGGAAACTCCGGAAACCAAGTTGTATTACAATGCCTTAAAGCCTTACCTGATAAGGCCCAGTTACCCCCCTGATTTTCCTGTGTCTACAGTTTGTCAGGACTCCTAGGAATTCAGGCACATGGGAGAATATGTTCCTGAATCAGGATTTTATCATCAACATTGCCTGTGAGACACAGGCAATTTCAAAGCTATAGTAAAATGCAAACAACTTTTAATATTCATCTCTGTCAACAGGAAGATCTTTGATTTATGAAGCCTCACTGTTTATCATCAAAGTTTCCAGCAGTCACTAAAAAAAAAACTTTTGCTATTTGCAGTGTCAGGCATTTTGCGCCACAAGCTAAAGCAACTGATCCCCTTTTTCACCCATAGGATTAAAAAATCCCAGGAATGAAGGAAAACTAATTAAGTTAGGCTATATAAGACCTATGGCACCAATCCCCTAGATTTGAGGCTAGTCTTTTTTTAAAAAACAAACAAAAAACAAAAAAAACAAGATTGTACTTTTTCTTAGGCCCCCATTTAAAATAAAAGTAAAAGAAATATTGCTTTTCCCCCTTTTTCTTTCCCTTAAGACAAAAAGAAAAGACGGAACAGATTAATGACTTCTTACTCATTTAGTAATGGAAAATAGACCAAGAATTCTGGGACATTCACAACACCTTCCAAGTTGAAGTCATATTTGCAGCCAAATAAAGGATAATCTCCTTTCTTCTGAAATTTCACAGTATATATTTCATTTCCAAATGATTCTGTTTCTGAAGCTTCAAGGCGTCTTCTATCAAGGTTGTCCCCCAAACAAAATTTAAAAATTAAAATTGTGATTAGACTTATTTTGATCAGACTATGCATGTGAAAAACTACATGATGAACACTTGATTAGCTTTTTAGTTAGATCTGGGATTTTTTTTTAAGTGACAGGATCTTACTCTGTCACTCAGGCTGGAGTGTGCTGGTGTGACCATAACTCACTACAGCCCCCAACTCCTGGGCTCAGTCTCCCGAGTAAGGACTACAGGGGCATGCCACCATGCCTGGCTAATTGGTAAATTTTTTTGTAGAGACAAGGTCTCACTATGTTGTCCAGGCTGGTCTCAAACTCCTGGCCTCAAGCAATCCTTCTGCCTTGGCCTCCCAAAATGTTGTGATTACAGGTGTGAGCCACTGTACTCTCTTGATCTGAGCTACTTTTAAGAAGCAATATACTAAAAGATCACTAACAGTCACACCAATAAAATTAAGCTGGAAGAAGGTATCATTCTGTCCCATGACAGCTGTTAAGTATGTGTCTGACCTGCAGTTTGTCTATCACTATAACTTAAGTCTCTAGCTTACACATAAAGATGGACTTTTAAAAGTTCATCTGTAAATTTGCCTTTTGAACGTAAATTCTGAATGTCTACCCAAATATCTTATGAAAGTGTTCCACACTTATAAGATTAAAATAGCATATTTTTATAGAATCTATCTCTGATAAACATTTGCTACTTAATACTGAATATTTCACAAACCACAATATATTTAAAAACACTTACATCAATTCAAAGCTATTGGGAGTAGTACCAATAAAATAGCCCCCAGGGCTAAGTCTCTCACACGCATTTCTCAGCATCATGTCAGCCTGCTCATAGGACTCAAATGAGTAATGACAGACAAACTGACAACTGCAGATGTCAAAACACATTTGTGGGTCACGAAATTTGTCAATCAGAAGTTCCTGAAACCAATTAAAATGAGTTAAGATTTTCAGGTAACTACAAAACAAATTAAACACTTTTTAGTAAATTAATTTCTAGAATATAAGGTTTTTCCCTTTCCTCACAATCTTCAACCTATCCTTTCCCTTGTACAATAAAGGACACATGAAAATCATGCATGTATTCTAGTTTAATAGAATAATTTTATTCCCATTTTCCCAGTATTTAAAAACCGAGGGATTCTGAAATCATGTTTAAAAAATATATCAAATTATGACATTTCAAGTTGATCCTTTCATCACTTGATAGCTAAAATAAAATGACATTCAACAATAACTTGGATTAAAAAACAACATCTGACCTTTGGCGTTTTTTAAAAAATGCAAAAATGTTTTAAAGATATTACAACTTTCTGGCAGTATACTTCCATTTATCTTTTTCACTTTCAAATTTCAAACAAAATGTGTATGATTAAAGGTATCTTTAACAGTTCAATGAGCCAATAAATCAATGAAGAACAAAAAGTTCATGGTGAGACTTTCACCCCTGAAGTGCCTCTGCAGTTCTTGATAAGAAATTCAGAAACAGGTGGAAGCTAGAAAAAACAAATAGGCTCTGATATGTTGGGGAACTAATAAATTACAAGGTGAACAAAACAAAGTATAAGTTCAGTTATATTTCAAAATATTGGAAAATAAATGATATCCAAACAGAAAAGCAACAACTAATTTCAATGAAAATTATTAAAAGCAAAAAATTATAAGTGTTCAGTGAGTCATTTAAGGGAATTCATCATAACAGAATTTCCAGTCGAAAGTGAAAATGCATGTCCCAAGGTTTTTAAAGTTTCAAAACACATTTTAAAAAATGGGTGGCCGGGAACCATGACTCATGCCTGTAATCCCAGCACTATGGGAAGCGAGCAGATCACTTGAGCTCAGGAGTTTGAGGACAGCCTGGGCAACATGGCAAAACCCTGTCCCTACAAAAAAAAACACACAAAAATTAGCTGGGTGTGGTGACATGTGCCTGCAGTCCCAGCTACTCAGGAGGCTGGGAGGCAGAATAATTGCTTGAGCCTGAGAGGCAAAGGTTGCAGTGAGCTGAGATCACGCCATTGCACTCCAGCCTGGGTGACAGAGCGAGACCCTGTCTCAAAAAAACAGAATAAAAATTTTTGTTAAAAAGTAAAAAATGAGTTGACTTTTAAAACAAATTATTTATCCAAGCTAAAAATGTAAAAAATAAATCGACCAGAGAAACTGTACCTTTGAGCAGTCAGCAGTTATAAATTCTGCACTGAAAATATATTCACTGTCACGACGATTTTTCATGTCCTCATACCGCTGCTGACACTGTTTGATAGAAACATCAGCAATATCTGAAAGGATGAAAGGGTATTAGTATCAAGACAGAATGCCAGAAATCTAGACCTTGATCTCAACTGATAAACTCTAGCATGAAAGTCAGCCTTAGTACCAGTAAAAAGGTTTTATTTCCTTTAAAATAAAAGGGCTTTGTTCCGATGCAAATGCCCTATCAGTTTTCAAAAGGAACTAAAAGCTTCTCAATAGGTACTGCTGCTAGAAAAGTTCTATCAAGATTTTTAAACACTTACGCAAAATAAAAAGCAGAAAGTTATATTCCAATCTGAATTACAAAACCTAACATTACTAATAAGCCCAGTTTTGGAAATACCAAGTGTATATTTTTATAAAAAAAATGTTATTTGCCCTTTTCTCCCCTCCCTCCCCCAACGCCCCCACCGTTTCTGAGACGGAGTCTTGCTTATCGTTCAGGCTGGAATGCAGTGGTGTGATCTTGGCTCACTGCAACCTTCACCTCTGGGGTTCAAGTGATTCTCATACCTTAGCCTCCAGAGTAGCTGGGATTACAGGGGTATGCCACCATGTCCAGCTAATTTTTTGTATTTTTGGTAAAGGACAGGGTTTCACCAGTTGGCTGGCCTGGTCTCAAACTCCTGGCCTCAAGTGATCCACCCTTCTTGGCCTCCCAAAGTGCTGGGATTATAGGCCTGAGCCACTGTGCTCAGCCTGCCTGTCCCTGTTTTAAGGTTCACACTGATGATGCAAAGGCAACGTTAGGTAAAACACTGGGATCTTATCACAAATACAAAGTAGCAGCACTAAATAGTACTGGCAGTACTTCATATATTCTTCACCACTATACAATAGGCAGGAGGGGAAAGCCAGTTTTATTTAAGAATGCCCTTGATAAAGCAGTGAAAATTAATTTTATTAAACCTGGGCTCTTGAATACACACTTTAAAAAATGATGTGTGATGAAATCGGAAATAACAAAACATTTCTGCAACATAACAAAGTCTGATGGTCACCTTCAAGAATAGCACTGACATGCCTGTTCTGAGTTTTGAGCTGTACTGGCCACATTTTTTCTGAGAAAATCACTTTGTCTTGAATGACTGACAAACTATGCTTATGCAGACTTGATTATCTGGCACACATTTTCTTGAAAATGAACAAAGTGAGTCTGTCACTTAAAGCAAAGTTCCCCAATCCTCAAGCCACAAACCACTACCGATCCACGGCCTGTGAGGAACCGGCTGCACAGCAGGTGAGTGGCAAGAAAGCTCGGTAGCACACTCCTTATGAGAATCTAACACCTGATAATCTGAAGTGGAATTCCATCCCCTCCTTCTGCGGAAAAACTGTCTTCCATGAAACCAGCCCTGATGCCAAAAAGGTTGGGGACTGCTGATTTAAAGGGAAATAATGCACAGTGTATTTGTTGCCAAAAATAAAACTGACTTTCAAGAACTACAATCCTGAAACACTTGTACTGATCACTGTGTGATGAACTTCTTCCCAAGAGTTTTCTGATTGGCAGTGATTTTTTGATTCTCAACAATTACAAGATCTGCATAACCTTAGTAAACAATATTTTCCAAATACTATAAAATCATGCAGGAAGTACAGATCAATGGATTTTAATGTTATACAGTATAAAAAGTTCATCAGTAAGGTTTCAGATTCCATATAGTAACTAGTATTTAAGAAACTACCACTATTGAGTTTTGATGTAGTAACAAATAGGAATATCTACAATTATCAAAAAAGGCTATTTAGATACTCCTTTATTTTACAGCTACTTATCAACCAAAATAAAATCACAACATATTGGATGAAGAAACAGGTATGAGAATCCAGTTGTCTCCTGAAATTCCAGACTCTAAAGGGATTTGCAAAAATGTAAAAGCTAGCCTCTTACTAAATTTTATCTGAATGAACTAAAAAATATTTTCAAAATTCTCAGCTTTAATTTCTAATATAGTAAATATCAGTAGCTACTTACCATAATTACATACAAAAAAGCTTTCTGGGATCCTCAGTAATTTTTAAGTGTACAGGGCTTATAAACCAAAAAATTTGAGAGCTGCTAATTTAGGCAGTACTTCAGTAGTAGGGCTATGTATCTCTTTTAACTCACCACATCAGAAAGACACTGATGTCTGCTTGTCCCACTTCAGTGTTAAGACTGATCGCTGGGCTAAGGTAATTGATTGATTCATTCATTACACTCCTATCGACTTTTCCCCTAATGGCTTCAGCAGTAAATTATTGCCTACCCTAGATCTATCATTTCATTGAGATTGAAAAAAATTATTTTCTAATTCTATCATTCCTCCTCTATTTATTTGATTAAAAAAAAAAAAGGAATTGCCTTTTCCAACCATCTGATTACAAATGTTTGATTCCCTCCCTTAATTTATAAGTTTCAGAATAGTAAGTTTCTTAGCAACCTCCAAGGGTGAACAATGTTTTTACTTGATTTGATGTGTCCAACTGCTACTTTTTTTTCCATGTTCAAATTGTTCTATTTTAGCCAGTGGAAACCTTTTCTACCCTTTAGATATTGACTCCAATCACCTTTGATAGCTCCATTCCTTTTAGGAAGGTAAAGTTATCCCAAGCTTATTAATCGTATCATAAAACAATGAGGAAAGTCTTGCAACTAAATTTTTTTTTTTTTTGAGATGGAGTCTTGCTCTGTCACCCAGGCTGGAGTGCAATGACTCGATTTCGGCTTACTACAACCTCTGCCTCCCGGGTTCAAGCGATTCTCATGCCTTAGCCTCCTGAGTAGCTGGGATTACAGGTGTGTACCACCACA